ACGGTTGCAAAATTCGGTTGGTTCAATTACAGAATTCAACTGGTGAGATAGCAGCTACACGTTGCATATCAATTAGCAAACTATCACTTTCCAGAAAGAGTTTAGTAATACAGCTTGACAAGGAGATTCAGTGAAATTCATATAACTCGTGAAATTTGTAAAAGCAATGTTGTTTATATAATCTGTCATGCAGCCTACACAGTAATCACTTAGAAGCAAAGAAAACTACTTGAAAAATTGTCATGCAGTACCTTACAATAATTGATATAGAACAATATATGTGGCTTATTTTGGCTGATTTTGCTTCACAAATAAAAGTGATAAATTTGATGTTTTCTTATTTGAAATCATTATTCAACGTAGTTGAGAGTAGGAAGCCATTTTATTTTTTGTTGTCTTGAAAAATCAAAAAAAAAAGTAGCACCCTTACTTGAAGAACTTTTCAACTCGTCAACTCCTATTGTCGATCGCGAAACTGAGTGAGATAAAAAGATCAATTTTCAAATAACTTCATTTCTTTGAGATTTATTTTATTAAGAGCCAAGTTTTTATTTAAAGTTGTATGGTACTATCATGTGACAAAACTTTCACATTCAAAACAAGATTTGTTTTGGTATTGAGGCTATTAGAATATAGTTTGAGACTTGCTGACAGTTAAGAATTTTTGACAATCAGCGGAAAACAGTTCAGAGGTGAACTTGGAATTTTTACGTTGGACATTTTCAAGTTTACACCTTGTTTAGGTTCGAAATCGGTGAGTAACTTTTCTTACCATTATCAATGCATTCATTATGCTTCGATACCACTCATTGTAAAAATGAGAAATACTAGGTCACAATTTTGAACTGAGATTTCGATGCCAACTAGTCATTTATTGGCTCAAACTTTTGGATTTAGTTCTTCTCGAACATTCCAATCAAGAAAATCAATAAAAACGAGCAAAAATATACTAGCTTTGGTACTTTAAAAGGTAATAAGCAACCATCAAAAAAACCGATGAAAGGCAGGCAGTTTGAAAAGCTCAACCGGACCAAACCGGTAACTGCCCTGTTCGGTGCCGGTTTCAAGATGAGCTTATAGAAGACTATGATCTATGCAATTGTTGAGATGGCATATATATGGGATTGTATTGTCTTCACTGGCACATTCACTATTGGAATGGTCCATGAAATTAAATAATGTAGGTGTGACAAGACATCCTTTTAAAGTTAGTTGAATTTTACAGGGGTATACTGTTTGGCACTCAAATTGATATCAAAATAGTTTGAACTCATTATGTAATTGCATTCATTTTTACTGAACATTGATGTACGTAGATAGAGTAGTTATTGTCAATGAGAATAGATTGATTTTAGAGCGAGTGGGCATGTATTGCTATGAAATCAACATGTTTTCCTGTTGTATGTAGTCGAAATCGAGTTGACGAAGTCTTGATCGAAAAAAGTCACAAATATGTTCATGCAATTGACCAGTTTCTTGTTGCTGTATTTACTAGAATCGTTTTCTTTTGTAACAAAGCTGTACAAAATAATTCAAAAATCAATATATTCAATTCGTAACGTGAATTGATTTAAACAAAATTGAAAGAAGTTTTCAAAATCTGTAAATTCGATTCAAAAATCAAGCTTCTTATAATTTTTATGAAACGGTGAATTCACGAAATGCAACTTCAGGAGAAGTAAAGTGACATGCTTTTTGCTATAATATTTTGTTAGATTCTTACCGAGATCTACTGAGTTACATATTCTTCTTCCCGACCCTATAAAATATGCCAGTAATATTAAAGGTATAAGACATTGATTGTAAATCTTTCACTGTTTTGCCGAAGATTTCGCATACAGAACTCGTCTCCATGACAGATATTCGCTTGAATATTCAAGTCTTTATGACAGAGGATAGACTTTATGTTGTCACCGCTCAGATAAGATAACTAATTTAAAGTGCACCACACTCAGTCTTAAACGAGAAATATATTATTTAAAAAACATTACAGCCACATTCAGAAATCTACCTACCGTCACTAATCTACTCCAAATTCCATTCGAACATACTACTCTTTTTTTCACAACATAAATCACACCCTTCAAACGGACACATCTATTGCAATTCACCTTCCCCAAAAGCCCACAATACATGTAAGCGAAATCAAGCCGGTTCCTGCTAATAAAGTCGCTCATACGCGAACGGCCACTACGAAGCTCACTCCAAACTCCATTACAGTATAAAACCAAACGGTTAAACTCTCATGCTACTTCGTAAACCAGTACTCAAACAACATATTATCTCAATAAATACACCACTGAATGATTTCGACCCAACTATTTCGTCGTACATCAGCCAAACGTTGTGTTCCTTTGTCTTCGATTTGATTGTCTTGGAGATATGGCGTGATGAGTGTCTGTGTAAAAAAGTGCAGATGGGTATATGAAAGAGATGATCCAATTTCTTTGACAGTTGCTACTCTTCATCTGTGTATGCGGGAAACGATAATGGTATTCAATGGAATAGTGGAATTACTAAGTAGCGTGTTGATTTATGAATTATATCGTCTGGAGCACAATAAAGTCGATATCTGTATTGGAGTCGTAGACCAATGAGAATCAAGCATGTCATGGTTGACTTTTAAGCAGAGTGGGACATCGTGTTGCAATATGAAATGAAATGAAGTGAAGGTTTTTTCGGAGATTATTTTCTCTAATCACCCTAGACGAACTTCTTTTGGTCTGCGCAAGAGATACTTGAGAACCGTGATCAAGAAAGTCATGCACTATGGAGAAATCTTGAGGCAAGACTAGAGACCTTTCGGTGAGCTCAAGCTCTTGGACTTCTTGTTCTATCGCTTGATATTCTTGCGCGTGCGCTTGAATTCTTACCCAAGCGTTTCTTTTATTAGGGAACTTTTTTAGGTTTTTTTTTCAATTTTACGTTCAAAATAACTCAACTTTTAATAAAAAAATCAGTTCCATTTTCTTGGGTTGAGCACATGAGTTTCTTCTAACTCATGCAAAGATTCAAGCGCTTGTCTTGAGCAAGAAAGCCATGCGCTATGGACAAATCTTGAGGTCTGTGTAGGCCAAAAACATGAAAAAAAAAGTTCGCCTAGGGCTGCCATTTAGATCCTGCCACGATCTTGCTATAATGTCAATAAAATCTTGACATGATCCTGTTAAGTTTCTTTCAAGAAACTTGACCAAGTGCTTTGGTTTCTGACTGAATAACCTTGTCAATTACTGAAAATCTTTTCAACATGAATGATTGAAATTCTGGCTGACGTGAGTTCGAATCCAGATATAGTTAACCATTACTTAAGATCTCGATCCAATCATATCTCAAACCTTGGCCAGATATTGAACGCCTCATTACACGTTTTATTCAGAATTCATGAGTTTTCTGTAACAGTTTCTCATGCAAAAGCAATGAAAATCATTGAGAATCGCAATAGAGTCTGTCTGAAATCTTGACAAGATCTTAAGTACTTTCAAGTTGTACGCTGTTAACAGAACTGAGAAGGGAACTACCCCAACTGTTTACGAGCTTTTGACTTCATCTTTTGGCTATAGGTAGGCTTCAGTGAGACTAAGAAAATCCTAGAAGCGTTTGTGCCCAGGGGCTTCGAGAGTCGAGTTATGGCCATTTTACTGAATTTTCGACTCATTTTTAGGTATTTGCTGGCAAACCAAATTACTGAATTTCGACCTGAAATTTTGCCCATAGATAGATCTAATGATTTTTAGAATATCCTGAAAGTTTCAGCCGAAAAGACTACTCCTTTGTCAAGATATTGAATTTTCAAGTAAACTCGATTTTTGTGACATGTTTATGGCAAACAACATCTTTGAAAATTCAATATCTTGACAAAGGAGTAGTCTTTTCGGCTGAAACTTTCAGGATATTCTAAAAATCATAAGATCTATCTATGGGCAAAATTTCAAGTCGAAATTCCGTAATTTGTTTTGCCAGCAAATACCTAAAAATGAGTCGAAAATTCAGTAAAACGGCCATAACTCGGCTCTAGAAGCCCATGGGCACAAACGCTTCTAGGATTTTCTTAGTCTCACTGAAGCCTATCTATATCTAAAAGATGAAGCCGAAAGCTTGTAAATAGTTGGGGTAGTTACCTCGTCAGTTTTGATTTTTGGTCTAGTTTTGATTAAATGACAGTAATACTACTCCAGTCGAACCGCAGCCGAACCGAACCGAACTCGAACCATGTTCGCCAAAAAGAAATCGAACCGAAGCGGTTTTCGAAAAATCCATCCGAACCAAATTGAACTGGAACTGATTTTCAAAAAATCCATCCGAACCGAACCGAACTCGAACCATGTTTTCAAAAGTAAGATCGAACTGAACCAAACTCGAACCTATTTTCCAAAAGCGAATCCGAACTGAACCGAACTCGATCCAGAAAAACTCGGTTCGATTCGACCTCTGGTTAGTGTTTCATGAAAAACTATTACCAATATAATAATAAACAACATTTCGTTGATCTATTGTAGAGAATACACATACCTATATGTCATCATTAACATTTTATTTTTTCTATATTTACATACGATTCATTATTTTTGTAATATTCTTATCTTCAATATTTACTAAACTCTAGACTGAAGAATGTATAAAAGAAATAAGAATGAATTGATGTAAAATTCGTCGCTGTTTTTTTTCTTTATTATTTAAATCTTAATTTTACGTTTTGAAACGTTAGAAAAAAAATACTTCTTTCTATTTTTTAAGTCTAGTATGCAACATCAACAATAAAATAAGATTATTAGAATCAATAGACATCCAAATCATTGTGTCATTAGACAATAACTTTACCATTGTAAATTCATAGAAAAATACATTCACTTCTGATAGAAATTCGAGTATATTTCGAAAAGATAATATTAAAAATTTTCTTTTTATTCCAAGAACAAATATTTAGAAGTAATAAACATGATAAGGGAATGAATTATTTTAAATATGTACACTGTTAAAAATATAAGATTTAAATATTATTTCTATTTATATGTAATTAAATATTCAGCATATGCTTGTGCATCATGATAAGTAACAAAAATATGATGTCCATCTGTTGTTGAATCAAATCCAAATGGTCGAGTTTTCATTGATTTATTTCCTAAAGTTGTCTTTCCAATAAGAACACGAGCAAGAAACATACATCGTTCTTGATTTGAATTTAGTCTTGTAAATTCATGACTATAAGCTGCACTTGATGAAAAATAAACACCGATACCATATGTTGTTCCTAAAAAAAAAAGAAACACAATATAGATTAAATCGAAATGAGAATAGACAAAACAAAAGATACCATTAACACCAGCAAAACTTCTATTAAAACAATCTTCAATTATTGAATTTGCTGCTTCGTCAGAACAACCATGATATAAACGTTTCTCAGTGTCTTTATTTAATCGTTTTTTAAAATCTGTCCAATGTGCAATATATTGCATAAACCATCGTTCATTTTGAATTCGTTCAATTTTTATAATTTTTGTATATTTTTCTTTCATAGCTTGATCAAAATTGTTCGAAATAGATTTATATTCATCAGTATTTTTCGATAAAATAAATCTTAATTTATTTTCTTTTGATTTTTCCCATGTTAAAGGTAATTGATAATCGATTGATGCATGATAATCTATGAAAATAATAATTTCAATAAATACATTAAGAAAAAATATATAAAATCTATGAAAAAAAAAATATTTTCTACTTTCATTTGATGATAAAAGTTGTTTACAAAATTCATCATAAATATTTTGGTGATTAGGTTGAATAATAAATTTCACTAACCATGATAATTTTCTCATTTGAATTTCTTTTTTCATTTCTCTTATCATTGTTTTAATAATAATATCAATTGAACAAGCATGTTTTCCACATCCAAGAGCTGGAAATGCAATTGAATTATAATTATATGAAATAACATTTTGAATAACATTCCATATAAGATCAATAACTGATTGTTGAAGTAATTCAGGATCTCTATTTGGTTCCCATTTAATAAAAAATATTCTTTTACAAGGCAATTGACCTGATGGTGTTGAAATAATTAATGAATTTGGATTATTTATATATGCTTGATAATAAGCAATTTCGACTTCATCTCCACCAGCTTTCATTAAAATTTGTGTTAAATCTTCCGATGATGAACTTGCAATAATAACATCTACCTATTATTTATTAAAGCAAAACAAAAAAAAAAAATAAGAAAATAATATTTTATATTGATAACAAAAAACAAGTTTACATTTTGTTTTATAATATCACCTTGTTCAATTTCAATTTTTCCTTTTTCAATTATTAATGATATTGATTTTGTTATTGAAATTTGTTCTTGTTGTTGAAATGAATTAAATTGTTTACAAAATTCATTATAAATATCTGTTCTATCCGGTTGAATTACAAATGAAATTTTTATTGGATATTTAATTAATTGTTCTTGAACTTGTTTAATAAATGTTTCAGCAATAAGTCGAATTGAACATCCATATTCACCACAACCAATAGCTGGAAATGTAATACTTTTATAATTTTCATTTATTGCTTTTTCTATTACATTGAAAACTAATTGTTGTATTGATTGACAAAGTATATCAGGATTAGAATTAGGTTTCCATAGAACAAAATAAATTACTTTTGATGGAAGTTTACCATCAGTAGTAATACTAATAATAGAATTATTAAGATTTTCTTTTATTTTCATTTCAAGTAAGTTTTGTAGAGATTTTCCATATACTGTAAAAATACTTTCAATTAAATTTTTTGATAAAGTACATATTACAATAACATCACTCTAAATATCTTACAATCAATATCAGATTTTTTTTCTTTTTACAAAGTTTAAACTTACTTGTTCATTTATGATATTACCTTGAATAATATTTATTAAATTCTTCGAATCTTTTTCATTTGTCGATTGCTATAAAAAAGAAAACAAGTCATTATAATCAAATAAAAGAGGATTGCGGTGAAACTGCTGGATATCACCCTACAAAAATATCAAAACTGTTGTTCATAATTTTTTGACGTTCTTAATCTCGTTACTTCATTACGTCGTCGTCTTATTATGTTGAGATTATAGGTGCAATCAAAAGTTCATACACAGAGTATTTCACTTGACTAAGAATTTTGGATCACCTTAAGGCTTCCACTGCAACTTGAGCTAAGTACCGTTATCACCATCCTCCGTAATGATGGTTGCTTAGCAACTTTACATCTCACATCTAATACGAATAGAGAAACATGAACACTCGAAAAAACAATAGAGATAGATGAGATGATGATATCAACAGAAGTGATATTAATAACACCTAATTAATTAAGTACTTCGTTGTAGAAATTATAAATAGTCATTCTTACTCATACAGATAACAGTATCTATAAACATTATATTCCTGTTAAATTGGCGTTTTTTCACAAACAACTAGTACTGTCATATATCCAAAAGATGAAAAACGTTGGAGATGAAATTAAAAAATGAATAGGTATAAATGAAGATGACAAGTGTTTTAAGTAATGAATCAGTTATAGTTACATAATGCATGTATTTTCTCTGTCATTGCTATGAATGTAAAGTAGTTTCCTTTTCTATGAATTATCTTCTTTGAACTCGAATTTTTTACTTTTTTATGAACGATTCCTCACGAACATTTTGTTTATTAGTCTACATATAGAGTTGTTCATATTATCAAAATAGACAGAATGAAAAAACAAAATTAATTATATAATAATCTCATCTGTCCTAGCCTACAGGCTAAATCAGACCAATTGATGTTTCTGATTTTATGAATATGTTTAATAGTAATTTTTCATTTTTATTTTTAAATAGTTTTCTTATTCAAATTCTTTCAAAAAACCATATAGATCTTTATTATTTATTCGATAGATAATTATTAAATTCTAACCTTATTTGAAAAATTTAAAATTTCATTATCAAAAATATTTTCATATTTCAATTCATATTGATTAATTTCATCTATTGAAATAATTCCATTAAGTTGTGCTTGTTTTATATAAGATATATTAAGTAATATTAAATCTAAATTTGTTGATAATTGAAAATTATCAACAGGTATTAATTTACTATTATCATTAAGTATTATTTTTGGTATCCATCTTAAAAAACCTTTAATTGTATTTTGTTGATTAGTAAATGTAAAATTTTCAAGATCAAATATAATTTGTTCATTATTAATAAAATCTAAATTAATAATTATATTTTTTTGTCGATAATTCATTGCTATTTCAAATAAAAAATTAATTTTTGTATTACAATTATACCATGAATTAAGTTGTATATTTGTTGTTGTTGTTGTCATATTAAATATTTGTATTGATGATGAATTATTTATTATACCTGTTGGATGTTGAATAAACATAATTTGCCATTGTGAATAACAATGAAAATTTAATAGCGATGAACCTCGACAACGAATCCAAATAAAATTTTTTGTTTGATCATTATTTATAGTTGAATATAAAAATTGTGCAAGTGAAATATGATAAATATCTGTTGATATTTTTAAAATAATATCAGTTTGAAATTTTTTATTTGAATTAATAATTAAAGATTGTTGAAGTTGATATGATAATTCTAATGAAATTGGTAACCATTGATCATGTGAAAATATTTTATATTCCCAAATACAATCAATAATATCTTTATTTTGTTTTATTTCTTCAATTATTGTTTTATTTGGTAGAATATCTAATTTTTTTGAATAACCAAATAAAAGAAAATCTTCAAAAAATTTTCGAATATTTGTTCTTAATTGTCCATTTTGTATTGGAGTTTCATATAAATTATTTAATATAAAATAATCAGCACCATGTTCTATTAAATATTTGACAATTTCTATATGTCCATTAAAACAAGCTGCATGTAGGGGTGTTGAACCAATAATTGCTTTAATTTTTGTTTCATGATTTTTATCATTATAATCTTCATTTTTTATATTAATTGAACATTTACCTATTTCAATAAGATATTTAACTAAATTTAAATGATTATTTCTTGTTGCTGAATATAAAAGAGTTGTTCCATAAAGACCAGATTTATTTTTGAATAATGAATATTTTTCAATAAAATCTTTTATAATTAATTCATCTCCATACCATGCAGCTTGACATGCATCAATTAAAAATAATCTACCTTGAAGATTATATATAAATGAAGGTAATATATTTTTTGTTAATTCAATTGAAAATATTTTTTCTTCAATATTATAATTATATTGATTTAATATATCGAAAAGATAATTACGAGATTGAAAAGATAAAGATAAAAGATTATCAATTAAAAGATTTTTTATTTGTATTTGAAGATTATTTATTAATTGTTTTTCATTTGATTGATTTATTTGTTGTTCAATATTATCGATTGTATCAGAAATAATAATAATTAATAATTCTAAGCATTGTTTTAAATTTATTTCATCATTACTTTCACTAGCCATATGATCAAAAATAAAGAATTCTAAGCAAATAAAACTAAAATTGAAATATTTGTTTTTTTATTTGCTTTCATATGAAGAAAAAGAAAAAAAATAATAATCAACGAGTTAAAGGAATGTATAAAGTTTGTTACTTATTCAAATATCAATATGTCAATAAACTCTTCGAAGCATGATTAATTGTATCAATACAAAAAATAAAATAAAAATATGTCAACAACAAATTATGTTTAGTCATACTAAAATATTTTCATTAATCACTTTTTCAAGGATTTTTCTTATGATGAAATATAATCTAAAAGGAGTATTGAAGTTTATAGATAAAAACTTAGACTTTCTTCTCCTTACGTTGCAGATGGTGATAGACGTCGTTGGTATATAATCACGAGCTTTATATCAATAAAGTCATGTTATTGTATATAAACTACTATCAGCGCCAATATATAAGACACGTGGCCATTTTTTCAATAACTTTTGATAGAAACAAGATGCAGAGCTGTGGTTTTCATCATTAGATGATCATTTGTAATATGACCATTCGATAGAGAAAATTGTTCTCTTTCGATCTAGATAAGAGCGAACGCTATGGTTTGTTTAGTTCAGGAGTTATTAGTGTTTTTCCAAGATCTCAGAAATTGGCCAAACGTCCTCCAATCAAGCTGTCATGGGTCAAAACTGGAGTATTCGACCATGCTGAGTCGAGTGGTAACATTGGCTTTCAATTTTGAAGCTCTCATGTCACCATCTTCTTGCTATGACTCTTCAATGGTAACGTCAGAAATGTTGGCATAGCAGTTGGAAACTGAAAACAAATGTTACCATTTGACTCAGCGTGATCGATTACCCTTGTTCTGACCAATGACAGTTTGGTTAGAAATTGTTTAGTCGATTTTAGAAAAACATTAATAACTACTGAATGGAACAAGTTATAGAGCTCGGCTTTGCGTAGATCGAAAGAGAACAGTTTTCTTTATCAAATGGTCATATTACAAGTGAACATTGAATGGTGAAAATTGCAGCTTTTTTATCTTGTTTCTATCAAAAGTTGTTGAAAAATAGTCTTATATTTTGGCATCAATAATAGATGCCTCAATATGACATATGCCAAAATTTGAGCTTTTTGACTCTTATTGTGAGACAAATACAAACATCTTAACATTTCACAAAAGAAGTTTTGAATTACAGTGCCACTCAGAAGTCCTAGGAAAAGCATCATCTCTAGGCCCATCGACTATCTCAGAATGAAATTACAAGTGAAACACTATTCTGAATATGATTGTTCTTAGTCCCAGTGTTTAACAGTTTGCCACTAAATTTATCAATCCCTTTCAAATTTGTTTCTTCTCACATGGCATTAATTTTATCAACGTGCCACTAGATGCTAAAAGCCTACGTTAGAGATCAGAAAAGTAAAAAACTTGATAATGATCGTTGTGTCCAGTGAAAAACTGTTGAACACTTAGATTGATAACAATCATGTTCAGAATAGTGTTTGAAATGTAACTTCATTCTTAGATGTAGTGACGAAATTAGGGAATGGCTAAAGAGGGCTCACAAGGGAATCTCTGCATGTGTTAAATCGCTTTTTTGGCTAAAACGATGGTCATTTAATGACTACTCGTGAGTAATAGAAAAATCTAGAATGGTTTAATTTTCCGAGCCTTCATTCTTGAAATATCGAAATTTGACTAAGTTTTTCAACAGACAGCTGTGGTTCCACTCAGACTACAAGGAAAATCGAGTTTCAACTTCAAGAGATATAAATTTACTTGTAAACATGAGAAAATTTTGAATATCTCAGAATACGAGATACTAGAAAAATTACACATTGTTAGTACTTATCAAAGGAATATTCGCCTCGATCGAAAAGGGATTTGACACCTGAAGAGGTTCACTCGTCAGCAACTTTCAGAAACCTTTGAGGTTCTTCTAGAAATAAGACGATCTTATATTATAGTCGAAGGCAACACCTGTTTTCTAGCTTCAAGTTTTCTCGATACAAATTTTTTCTGGCTTCGTCACTAAGATCCTCTTTTCTTCAGTATTCAAAATTTGATGGCCATCAAGGAACTCAAAATTAGAACAGAACATAAACCAAAATATATTTTTCTAAATTTTTGACTGTTTATATCCATCGTATGTTTTTCAAAATCAGGTTGCTTTAATACTACCGTTTATTCTTATTAGAACAATTATTAAATTTTCTAATTGAGTACATATACTGTTTAGTAGATCTATAAATTGTCTAACACTGTACAACTTGAACATTCGAATATTAGAAAAAAAAACCAAATAGATTTCTCTCGTGTTGTTCAATATCTCTTTATGAAATTTTGACTTGTTTTTCTTTTTGTTATTCATAGTGACTAATTTATAAATGTAAAACTGAAAGTTTAATAATTTAATTTTATTGTTTAAATAATCTGTAAAAATTTAGCTTTCTACATTCTTATAATGCATAAATAAATACAATTTAATGAAATAAGATGCATTTTAACATCGATTTACTTACCAAGTTTATCGATATTTTTACGTAAAACGTCTCTAATGGTAATTACATCCGACGAAAAAAACACCTGCAATAGAAAGCTATTGAAACGCGTACCTGTTTATTTTTGTTTCATATCTACATGGATGTGTAATACATGTGCTGATTTTTATCGTTGATTTAATAAAAGAGAGAGGAAGGAAAAAAAAAAGGAAAAAATATAAGGTGAAAGGTAAAGGATACTGTAATGATGATTAAAACAAGTTTCATAAACATTAGAACAATAATTAATATGCTTTTGCTATTATTCATAAAAAACAAGAAGACATCATTATATAAATCAAAATTAGTATTATCTTAGCATTATATCAAAGAAAGACAGATTGTCGTCATAATATTATTCATAAGGAAAAAATCCCACTGATTTCATCAAAATAGATAATTCATAGAACCAATGAGAATAAATCAAATAAATAGTTATTTGAAGCTATTATTCATTTCAAAAAAGAATGGGCTCGATTGTCTGTTGAATAACTCAGCAACACTGATAGCTATCAAGCTCTAGTTTTCACCGTTAGAAAGAGCATGAGTAGGGATACAACTCTACCTGAGAATCAAAATGTTTGAAAAGTTTTCTAGGGCGTTCTAGGAATTCTTTTTGGAAAACCACTGTTCGATTTGGTTTATATGCGCCCATAGAATATCCTACAAGTTTTAGTCAAAAAGAATGTTCCTTTCTCGAGATATTGGTTTTTTCAATTTCACTTGAAAATACACCTAATCAAGTGAATCAGATAGAGTTTTTCAAAAAACTCCCTAGAAAACTTTTCAAGTATTTTGATTCTCAGGTAGAGTTGTATTCTCACTCATGCTCTTTCTAACGGCGAAAATCCGAGTTTGATAACTACCAGCATAGCCGAGTTAGTCAACAAACAACCGAGTTCATTCTTTTTTTGAAATGGATAATAGTTCCTAACAAAATGTTAAATATTAAATATACATATATCAATCAATGATTCGAATAGGTGACTCTTATGTGCATAAATACGGCAGTGATGCGTCTAAGGACAATTGCCATTTTAATATTGTAAGACTTTCTTCTCCTATCCAAAAAAACTTTTTATGTAATTGGTTAGTTCTCTGTCCACATTCGAAAACAGTATTGCGTATCGAAATTCTAATACTTTTTCATGGTTTTACACAGAATTTACTAAGATTTTCTATAATGAAAAATCTAGGAAAAAACGTACGAACTAGCACGTCCTGCAAGTCTTCGAACAAGTGGACTCGTGCTCTACATTTCTTTTCCTACCAATGTTCATATAATTAAATAATTATTATGACAGTTTTATCCCTCTTCTTTTATCTAGTATTATTATTATGAATGGATGGCATGAACATCCATATCTCATATGGTTATTCTTTTTTTAGAGTAAGATTTTTAAACACTGTACAAATACATGCAAATCATTGTTTGATTCACTAGTCAATGTATTTCCTCTACCGTTTTATTCAACAGAAACATTGCTTTTCAACTGCAAGCTTTGTTTGGTATTTTTCAGTCATTTGACATGTTAGAAAGTTCAGAAAGGTTTTTATATAGAAGAGAAAATTGTGCTCTACAACTTAATAGAAGTGGAGTTTTTTATTTTCAGCTTGGTTCTCGAGAAAAAAACTGACGCCAAAAATTAATTTGAAAAACTCGGCTCTGTTAAGTTTGTAGCGGTTAGACTTGGCTACATTTTGACGTCAATTCGAGATTTGTATCATTAGATTTAGAAAAGAAATCTGGGATAAACGAAGACTTAGCTTTTGACGCTTAATATAGGGTTAACTTTTTAAAAAATTCAATATTTTGAGCTGCAATTTTTATTGTAAGCTTTCTAGGCCTATGAGCATGTTTTCTGAAATTTTCAGCTAGATCATTTGCTGTGGAACAAAAATAGATTTATGACACTAGAAATTTGATAGAAGAAATTGAAAAATTTGTCTGATTTTTTTTTTCTATGGTTCATACTATATATACATACTATTATGCACGATAGTTTTTCATGTTTTGGTGATTTTCAAACAAAAATATAAAAATACAGATGAAGAAGATCAATTTATGAGATTTTTTTGATGAACAAAAAACAAATGTATTCTTTCGTTAAATTGAAATAACATTATTTCACAACAAAATTATAGTATTCTTATAATCGAGTTTGATCTTGTTTTTTCGTCTTCGAACCATCTGTTCATTTTAACAATAAATCACAAACTGTCTATAACACAAGCTTGATAGTCGAGATAGAAATTCTTGCTTTAGTTGTCATATTAACATTCAAAAAAAAATCAGATCGTTTTCATGCGAAAGCAAATATAATGATCACGTGAAAAGAAATATTGATTAAAAGAAAAAGTAGATTGAGATTAATGAGAAACAAAAAAAAATGATGATGAGTGCGATACTAATAATACATGAAAAAGAAATAAATAAGCAATATTCGTAGCAAAAAATAGATTATTTTCTAATATTTATTTAGTTTAATAAGATGAAGAATAGTAAAATTTGTTGAAACATATTTATTATATAGATGCCATAAATTCTTGAATAGCATCGATAGCTTGTGCTACTGTTTTTGGATAGATTCCTGTATCAATAAGAATGTCGTTTATAAAAGTTTCTTCTAATTAACTTCTTACCGGGTAAAGCAAAAAATCCATGAAGAGCACCTTTGACAAGTACAAGCGTATTCTTTACACCAACTTTATCGAGAATTTCCTTATATGCTGGAAAAAAAAGACGATGATAAGCATATATAAATCATGTTCATACTATAACTATCATCTCGAAGTGGATCGAGTTCAGCAATAATAAATAAAGTTGGTGGTAACTGCTCAAGTGATGTATTGCGAAACACGGATATTCGAGGATCGTTCATATCAACTCCATCACCAAATCCATTTTGGATGCACCTACAAAAATAAGATGAATTCGTTTGTATTTAAATATTGATTCTAATATAAACTCTTCATACCAATCAAGCAATCCAGGTATGGAAAAATACTGTGGATCAGTAAATTCCTTGTAAGAGGGTGCTGAACAAGTAAAATCATACAAACCATAGACAAGAATCTAAATGATCATGATTTTATTTTCCAAACATAGAACTGAAAATTCTAACCTGAAAATCGATATTTTTCACTGTTTGACAAACAGATGTACTAATCATAGCTCCAGCACTATCACCTGCTATACCAATCTTAGCTGTTCGATCAACACCTAAATATAAATAATTCATTATAGTTAATTCGAAAGAAAATGTCGATCAATAAACAAACCATAGGATTCTTTATTTTCGATTATATATTGAGTTACATCACATGCATCATTAAGCCAAATTGGATATTTATATTCAGGACCTTGACGATATTCTACTGAAATCCAAATAGTCTTTGTAGCACTAAATTATGAATATAGTACCGTATTGAATAGACAAAAAAAAAAGGCGAAATAATAAAAAGAATTTTTTTTTGTTACTCTGCAAGAAGATTAACAATAGTTTGATGTGTCTTTCGATTACACATTGTCCAACCTAATTTCAAATAAAATTATCAATTAAAATTAATTATCAATCATGATCTGACCTCCACCATGAAAGTAAATCACTAGTTTATCTTTGTTGGTATTAACTGGAGTATAAATACTAATTGGTATATCCAGATATGAAGTTTTTTTGATAAGAATAAAATACATATTTCATTATTGTTGAAATCTACCAGCAGAGTTCGTTGTTACATGTTTCTGTTGAAGATTACCATTGAATGTTCCAATGAGCTTTTAATTGGCTTTAGCATGGACATCGTCGATAAATATTCGAAATAATTCAGGTGTTAAAACATTCGTTGATGGTTGAAGTGATGTAGCAAATTGTAAAAAGGTCTTTGACTCATCGGATAATCGTGGATCCCTAGAAGAACAGAACAAAATACCAACAAATGATTTTATAATTTGAAGAAAATATACTTACATGGGAATACTGTCCAGAATGACCTAGTTTTCAAATGAAAGTTAACTGTTTGTGATCGATAATAATATAAATACTAAATAAAGAATAAAAAGACATGTTTACATACACGAATATCAGTGCTGCCACCTTTTGAAGTCCGAAAAGCAGAAAGACAGCAGAACGTATGTTTATGATATGAAACTAACGGGTAGCTCATAATAAAAAAGGGTCTCAGTATTTTGTTAACATCTTAAGCGTTATCTTATCGCTGACACTATTTTTTTTATCAAACGATTCACCGTCTTCTTCTGCACAAATTGCATATTTCATTGTAAAAATACTTATTTCTTTCTCTTTCGACATCATCACGGTTTTAAAACAGCACTACACACAACTTTCAAAATCTTTATTTTTTTCAAATCTTTCCGAAAACATCCAGTCTTTAGATTAGTCTTATTATCATCGGTCGTACCATAGTCTTTATCCAGAAATAAAATAACTTGTCTTTGGTACGTTGATTGAAATGGACCAATTTATCTCTTGAGTGGCGAACAAATTATACCCGAAGTAACAGGATTAATTGAGAAACTGGAGATTTTGGAAATAATTGAAAAAAAATGAAGACTTTGAAAGTTGTGTGTAATGCTTGCTTTAAAACATGATGATGTTGAAAGAGAGATAAGTGTTTTTTTACAGCGAAATATACCAATTTCTGCAGAATCAGACGATGAATCTTTCAATAAAAAAAAAATAAAGAGTGAGCGATAAGATAACGTTTAAGATGTTAACAAAATACTGAGACCCCTCTTTTATTACGAGCTACACGTTAGTTTTAAATTTTAGTTTCAGCATATTAATCACTCGCATTGTATGACATCACAAAATACGACTAATTAACAAATAGACAGACTCATTGAACATGTTTTCTTTTTAAGGAGTATTCTTCATCTGATTTAAGAGCTTTTGACAATTTTTTTTTACCTAATAAATATTTATCCATTACAGTATATGATAAGAAGAAATTCAAAATAATTGTTGATTAAATTATAGCATTTAAAATTTCATAGGATTATTAATATTAGCTTTTTATTAGCAATGTTCGGAAAACTTGATAAGGAACGATAAATATTAGTTGAGAAGGATCAAATTTATATTCTTTTAAAGATCATTAATATTCGACCACTTTGAGCCATTCTCTGTTGAAGATAACTCTATTCAATTTCTGTTTTTTGGTTTAACTCCTGATGACATAATTATTATTTCAGCAGCTACTACTGCTTTGTGAATACCTTCTTCGCTAGTCGAGCTATTATTATCATCTAGAGCTATTATTATCATCTAGAGCTGTTTTTTTTGTGTTCTTTTCCTCTCACTAATCATATTAATTATTCATGTTCATTGAGTAAACAAACGAAAGAATATATATGTTGATGTATATGAATTACATCAGTAATTAAAATACGATAGAAAACCATAGGTAAAGAATTGATTTAAAACCAAATATATAGGTTGGTAGTTGTTTGTAGTCAGTAGAAAATAAAAATCATCTGTATCAGATAAAAAGAATTAGAATGGCACAAAAATATCAGTAGTTTTTTATACGGTCTTTTGAATAATTATAGAAACGAAGGTATTTCAGGTGAAAAATATTGATTGAAATAATAAATAACGTCGTATCAAAGAAAGCAGAAATGACAGAAAAAACTTCAAAAAGCAGAAGAGGTGGCAGCTCTAACGGATACTTCCTCAAAAAAAAGAATCGAAATAAAGATACCGCCATGTGACTCTCATAATGACTAGTTACGACGAAAAGATATCATATATGCAGCTAAATTCAGACGTCGATTCGTAACTCAAGCGAAAAGCGATTATTACATCATTCTTTTTTGCCCTATGAAGGTTCATTTATACGCACCATGTATTAAAAAAGTAGATTGATAATTGGAGATGAAAAATAGTAATTGATATCCGAATCTCGACAAAAAAAAACTTAAATTTCGACAGGCAAAATCTTTAAGCATGGTTTTTTTCTTCTTATTTTACACACGATAGTTAAATATCTTTACCGAAAATCATCTTGCATACAACATTGATTCAATGTCATCTTTGAAGAAGAAAATTAGTTGACGTGCGTGCACATAGATTTATTTGATCAAATTAGATTAATTAGTATAATGTGATTTGACGAAAGTATCTGAGTCGAAAAAATATGATTCTCATTTTTTCCTTGATATTGACCACAAAAGAAGCAATAGACTTATCAAATTCAAAAAACAAAACAGCTATGAGTAATGTTATCCTTTTCTTTTTTCTAGGATTTTGTAAACCGTTTTTCAATGAACGATATATTGTTCAGTTTGAATGCATACTAGAAAAAAAAGGTTCCGATAGATTAGAATCAGGATCGGAGTGTAGCAATGGTGAATGTATTCTCTATCCCGAACACCGTTCAAATTCGTGTCTAATGAGTTTTATTTTGTAAACTTAAGATAAATCAATAACAGAAGATTCGGATTGTGTATGGGTTTCGTAGTTTATTCGAAACAATGTAATTACTTATGCTCAACATGGATTAACAAAGTATATTCGTTAGGTCAGATATTTCTATCACAATTTTTCATGAGAAATGTATGAAAGTTCGAAAAAAACAAAATAAGTGAAATGTTTGTCGGTCTAGACATATTCTCTTGTGAAATCAAAACTACATGCGAACATTTGTATGAACCCTATTTCACAATGATACAAATTTCATTGATATTCTTGTTCTCTCGCTCAACTTACATGCTACACATATTATTGAACTGGCTATTCAACCTACACATATATGACAGAAGGATTTTCTAAATTTCTATGTTAATTAGCGAGGTTCATATTTGTCAAAACACCTACCAGAATGTAAATCAACAAAATACCCACATCCTAAAAGATGAGCTTCTGGTCAAAACGTAACATTAGAAATACTTCGACAAATGGATTGAACCGATCTTTTGCGTGGTATAAAATGATCACTATTTTTATGGCCATCTCGACTTCTGTCCTCAAGCAAATTTAAAAAAAAATATGATAAGTGGGTCACTCTGAAAGTTTTTAGATTCTTGATTAAACTGAATAGATATATACTAGTTTGGTAGTTGTGGTAGTAGACTCAAGTTTTAGAAGAAAGTCCACAGGGCTTTGGCTCTTGGACATTTTTTCTTTCATTTTGTTGTAGATTAAGTGATACTAGGTTGAAAATCATATTTTGTCAGGAGATATTGCTATAATTTTAAATAGAGTAAACAATGAATTTTATACCAAACGAAAGCCCATCAAAAATGGAGTTTATTGGTACTAAACAATAAGAATTATGGAAACTTTCGTGTATGTTACAATGTCTAAATATAGGAAATTTCACCAATTATAGGTATGAGAAAAGTTATCTCAATTTCCTAAATTTAGACATTTCAACGTACAAAAATTTCCATAACTCTTATTTTTGAGTACCAATAAACTCCATTTTTGATGGACTTTCGTTTAGTATAAAATTCATTATTTACTCTATTTAAAATTATAGCGATCAGAGATGGGATCGGTTGGCATTTGTTCCTAACCGAACGTAACCGACCGAATTTTTTTCTAATGTTCAGTTAGAAAAAAAACACTTACTCAACAAACTGAATATTAGCAAAAACAAATTGAATATTATCAACAACACTTCAATACCATCAACATCAAATTGAATACGAACAGCAAATTGAGTGCTAGAATTCTACTCAGAACAAGCTCGAGTTGAAAAGTCGGCTGACTGCAGACGTGATGAGCTACCACTGATGATAATAGAAATGAAAACTCAAGAATTTTTATATGAATGACACCTAAATTTGCTGATTTTCTGCTATTGAATCATTTTTGAATATAAATGAACATCATCAGCTTTTAATTATCGTTTTTCTGCATATTTCTTTCGATTGTTTGACCACCATTAGAAAAAACGTATCTATGCGTTGCAGACTTCATGACGTAGTATTTTAAATTTCATAGGGCGATAATTAATGAAAAAATATATGCATTTAACATCTTAGATCTAAGTTGCAATGTAAGACTGAATCATCCATAGCCATATAAGGAAACTATCAGCTGTTAATTATCATTTTCGATTTCTTTAATATCTTCCAGACTACACCGAATCTCGAGAAACGGATTTCAGATGTGCACTTATGACGTTCTCACGATCTCGTCAAACTTTTTTCCAATTCTAAATTATGCTTAAGCGCTAAGAATGCGGGACTGACTAGAATCGTGACTCATATGTTTAGAAGAAGAAGGATTTACTATGGCAACTAAGCGAGTCGAAAGCAATAAATCGGCTACTGCCTGCACTTCGTGTAGTCAGTCGACTTAACTGTACTGCGGTCACGCTCTTTTTTTTTCTTTGTTATAGTTCACCGGAAAATCCGCTGAAATCAAATTAACAAAATGATTTCGGTTCTTTCCAACCGAACCGAACGTAACCGACCGAGTTTTTAAAATTTTCCAACCGAACCGATTTCGGTTACGGTCGGTCGGCTCGGTTCGGCTAGAAACCGAATCGGTCCCATCTCTGAATAGCGATACCCCTCTAGCAAAATATTATTTTCAACCTAGTATGAATCTCACACGAGACCAAATTCGAGCTATGGCTTATTATGATCACATCAACAAAACGAAAAGAGAAATGTCCAAGAACCAAAGCCTTGTGGACTTTCTTCTAGGACTTGGGTCTACTACGACAACTATCAAAATCATATATATCTATTCAATTTAATCAAGCATCTAACAACTTTCAGAGTGACCTAGGTAACTCTGTATAGGGAACTAAAAAATGATTGGAACCATATTTTGATAGAATTCGAAATAAGATTATTGTAAAAATATCAATTCTAATGTTCTTATAAAAACAGCAGTGTTCAGGCTCTCGAAAAAAAAAGAATTAAATTTTCCTCACTGAAAAACTATTAAAGTAATCGAAACGATTTATTCAAAAATATAGCACTTTCTAGTTTTATATGAAATAATAGATATGTTTATAGTTACATATGTATAGAAATTTCAAAATTTCGAATATGTAAACAGTAATGTTTGTATTACAATTTGAGTCTTTCTCTCACATTGTTGAAATCACGGAAGTAAGGAAAGTCACTATTTCAAATAAGATTTTTTTTTGTTTGCTCCTCTACCCAATCATCGTCTTTATAACGAAAAAGAATCAAAATGACTCATATGATGAGCAATAACTGTGACACTCATCATAGAACGAACGCAAGATTTTAAGAAAGAAAAAAAGCACGTTATAGTCAAGACAGACAAACAGACATTTGTCATTTCATCGAACAAGAAAAAAACTACGTGATACGATTATTTTTTTTTTTTGTTTTGTTTTTTCTATTACAAAGAAAAACAACGATGCAATTAGAATCATTATCTAATGAAGTTTTTCATGATCTATTCGAATTTCTTGATCCTATTCAACTTATTCATGCTTTTGAAGGTCTTAATACTCGTTTCGATCAACTTCTATTCATTTATTTTCGATCGTATCGTCTAGATTTTCGTTCTATATCAAAATTAAATTTTCATCTTATGTGTGAACAATATTTACCATTAATTATTGATCATATTAGTTCACTTTGTTTATCAGATGATGATGAAACTCCACAATTATCTGAACATCTTATTCCTTATAATCTTACACTAGATGAATTTACACATTTAAAATCACTTTTACTTCAAAAAATTCATTCATCAGATATAATTCTTAATATTATAACAGATTGTTCGTATCTTTCATATCTTACTCATTTGAAAATTATCGAATGTCATTATACACATGATAAGAATTCTAAACAATTAATTTCTAATATATGGCGTCTAATTAAACTTACACATTGTACTTTGGATATAATTTTCGAATATGGACTTACTTTTGTTGGATTATCAATAATTTCAACATCTATAAAATATTTATCAATAAAAAATTTTATATTTTCATCTATAGAACTCAATCATCTATTAAAATCGACACCTTATCTTCAATATCTTTGTATTACATTTTTTGGAGAAAGTACTAATATTGAATTACATCGAATTAATTCTGTTCCATTAATTACTAATTTAAAACTTCATTTTAATGGTTCATTAAATTCTTTAATAAATATTTTACAAAGTATGCCGAATTTATTATATTTAACAATTGAAACAGGAACAATTAATTTAAATGGAAATCAATGGAAAAAAATTTTAATTGATTATATACCTAAAATAAAAATATTTCGATTTCTAATGAAAATTTTATTATTTAAACATTATAACATAGAAGAACAACTTGAAGATTTTTTAAATACTTTTCAAACTTCATTTTGGCTCGATGAACATCAATGGTTTGTTCGATTGGATTGGCCAAAACATGCTAATAAAGTATTTGTTATCTATACATTACCCTATTGTTTTAATGATACTTATGTTATTTATCAGAATCGATGGTCGAGAACAACTTGTCCAAATGTTCATGATTATAACTCTTATGATCGAGTAACGAATGTATTTTATAAAGGACATATTGATAATTTAATTGTATTTCCTGTATACTATCCAAATATTCGTCGTTTAACATTAAGACTTCCTTTTGATAATCGTTTTTGGAGTATTATTCCAACATTAGATCGTTTGATTTCATTAGAAGTAATTGAAACACGAGAAAATAGTCGATCAGAATCTCAATTAAAAGATTTACTCAATCGAGCACCTCGTCTAGATTTTTTAAGTGTTGATGCAATGTCATTTTTACTATTGGCACAATCAAATATTACTCATGATTCACTTCGTCGAATTCAATTGAAACATTATCGTACTAAAACGAATCGTTATATGAATGTTACACAATGTTCTATATTAGCTGATTCATTACTCGGACGTCAATGTGAAGTTCTTATAATTCGTATTGAAAATCGAACAATTATTCTTGATCTTATTAATAAGATGTATAATCTTCGAGTATTGAATTGTGAATGTCAAGATGATAATTGGACAAATAATTCATTATTATGTTCTAAAGATGAACTTGTAGAATGGTTGCGAAATTCTTTGCCAGAAACATATTTCATTAGCCGATATCGATCTCGTCTCGTGCGACTATGGATTAATAGGAAAATAAAATGAAAAGATTTTTCATTCGATAGAAAAATATCATTGTAAAAGACTAAAATTAGGCGTGATATTTTCAAACTTTTTCTTTTTTTTACTATGAAAGCAAACATTTCTTGAAGATATTTATACAGATTGATTTCCGCCTGCTCATGACATTCGGTGAGTATTTCGACCGGTGCTTTTATCACAGCGGTCGTACTGCTTTTCACTTAGTGATAAGTTCCAAGCTCTTTTCAATCGATAAAATCAAACATGTCAGACGAATGCATATATATGTCTCCTTATCGTAGTGTGTATAGAATAAAGTCTTTCTTTGTCAAACCAAAGCGATAGATAATGTGGAACATGTTTTCAAAAATCGATTGCAATTGATTTTACGAGTTTGAATATGATCAATAGAACCTAAAAACGTGTTTTAAGATTATTATAGGATGAAAAGGAATTAACGCCTTTTTTTTCGGAGTGACGATGAACAAGAAAAGAAGCATTCATTCATCCGATCAGTATGTTTTCAATACGAAAGAAAACTTGACAATACTAAGATAGCCATTTGTTGTCTCGCATTCTTTTCATATCGACAGACATAATCGGATATATTCCTTGTTGCTCTTGGCTGATCAACAAGCATAGGATAAGTTTGACTTTTGTCAACATGTTTGTATATGAAGTATTTATTTCAAGTTTAAAAAAAGAATTTTAATACTCATTATTTCATATGTACGATAGTGTTGTTAAAGAAAGTATGCACGTGGAAAAAAATCACGAAGTTGTCCTTTAAAATCGACATAATCACCTGATCCACTCAATTCAATTTGTAATATTTGTTGATAGATATTTTTTAAATATGAATCATTGTTTAATTCTGGTTCTGTAATGATTTGTTCTAATAATTTTTTTCTTGATACATTCAAATATTTCAATCGAGGACACATAAAAAGAAAACGACGAATTAATTGACAAGAAAATTGTCCATGAAAATAGAGAATTCGAACAGTATCAAATATTGGATAAGAAATAGTTTCATCTTCAAGTTGCCATTCCATATTATTTTTTCGTATAAGTTTCAAGCAACGAAGTCGTGGAAATGATGTAATCATCCAACGAAAAAGGTCAAGAGTAAGAATAGCATCACGACTCATAGGTGAAATAGTAATAGAACGTACAGTATTAAGTATAAGTAAATTACGATGTATAGTCGAACAAATATTCGAATTCCAATCAACGATTTGTGATGAAACAATAGATAATTCTTCAAAAGTTGTTGAAGTATGAGTAAGAGAAAAGACAATCATATTAATTGTACCAGAGACAGGAAGCATAGCTGTAAGACAAAAAAAAAAGAAAATATTCAGATTCAATTTATTTGTTTAAATAAAATATACCTGTAACTGGATAATTAATTACAATACATCGTTGTCGCCATAGTTCACTTGTAAATGAACTTTGATATTTTGCAATACATTTAACATCAATTTCAAATTCAATATAAAATTCGAATCGTTTCAAATGTGGTAAAAATGCTATGACACCTTGTTCAAGTCGATCACCATCGACAAGTGATGTTTTAGTTTGATTTTGTAAAATTAAATCTAATGTCAAATATTCAAGTGATGAAGAACATCCACGAATAAATATTTCAAAATATTCGAATTCAATTGGATATAATCTCCAAAATCTAAATAAATCATAATAAAAAACAATTATATAGTACGTGTTTATCAAATATCTACTTAGGCGGAATTATCTCTTGAGAATATAGAGCAATTCGTTTTAGATAAGGTGAACAGGCAATAAATGAATTAAATTCTTGTAAGGAACTATGAGATTCAGCCGATGATCCATATACATTGACAAATAATGATTCAATCATTGGTAATTGTTGACCAAGTTGAAATAAATCTCGTATAGTATTTACACATATTGTTAAATGACGTAGTGAAGAAATTAATGATCCTGTTGGTAGAAATGAACATCTCAATGAGAGATCGAAATTTTTCAATGGAATATCAAAATTATTATCTAAATGATAGATATCATGTTGTAAACAAAAATTAAGTTTAATTGAATCTAATTGTGATAATCGAATACTTAAAGATTGAAGTCCAATTATTAATTCATCTGTTGAATTTATTTCAACAATTGTTAATATTCGTAATGATGGTAAATCACGTAAATATGCTAATTGTCGAGTAGTAGCACATATTGAATGAATGATTTCATTGAATTTAGGTAAACGAGTACTGAGCCAAAAATTTGATTCATGAGATAAATTAATATAACATAAATAGGGCATAATGAGAGAAGCAAGTCGTACATTGTTTTCACTCAATTCAAGAAAAGCTTTAAGAATTTCTGATGAACTGAGATAATTAAATAGATATGGAAAGAGTTCATTAGGTAATGAAAGTAAATGTGTTACAGCTGTATTGTTGTTACTCATGTTGTATGAAAAACTTTTCTTTTTAAACACAAATTCTGCAAATATATTGTATACGTTTGTTCTTTCGCAACAAAGCACGTTTTTGATGCAGTACTTGCGAAACTTTTAAATAATATTCACCTACACGTGTGGAAAGAAAAGAAATATTATTTGTCAATAGTAAAATTTGTGTTCTATTGCTTGGACACGTCACAATCGCTGTTAAGAACGTAAAAAATACTTGTCTGTTCTTCTCCTACTATCGTTCTGTACGTAATGTACATTTTTGATAAACATGACAATTTGAATTTATTTTTTGAGTTCACTAAGAAATTTTTTCTAACTAAATATTACAACTTTTTCTTGGGCTATCTGATTATAGTAAGGATTGAGAGACGGTATGATAAATCCCTATTTCTAGAAGATTCAAATTTCTTCACAAGCTAAGAAAATCCTGCTACAAGGGTTCAGATTAAATATCCATGAATGTATAGTTAAAATTGATTGTTTCTTTTTTTACAGATTCAATTGAAGATATACAACTTGCGGTCTCGAATTGGCCTGATTCAAGAAAATCACTAGCTAACGTTTTATTTCAAATATATTTTAGAAGTCAAAGAGAAATTAAAACAATTATCTTATAGTTCAATATTCAAGTTATCCAACATAGTCAATAGTAAAAAGATGAATTTACTGATTGAACCTACCGCCAAAAATATACAACTTCATTTCTAAAATGTAAACAATTCAGCATTCTACAAAAGTAAGAATGAAAAAAACGATTCGACTTTCATGGAGTTTTATGTGAAAAAACTCTTCTATATCTATTGAATTATTATTTATAGTCTCTTGACTTGAACGTGACTGATATAAGGTATTAGGATCATTGGCTAGACTGAAGGTACTCAATTTTATATGATTCTCTGATTGTTAATAACGATTGAAAAATTTTAATAAATGAATAAAAGTTTTAAGAAACTAGAAACAATAATATCATGAGCATTGATTTTTAATCTAATAAATGAATTATTAATCAAATGTCTTAATTGCTGTGGCCATTTTACAATAAAAACAAACTTAAACATGTGAAATTTTCAACGAATAGAAACCATTATAATTTCTACGAAAGTTTTGCTTCATGTACAGATCAAAAAAACTTGATTCCAAGTGCGAATTCGATCTTAATCTATTGATATACACCAAAGTGATGAATTGGACACTACTTCTATCTTATGACAAATATTTCTCGATCACCTTAGTATCCTATTATTCGAATGTCCTTTGTCACAGCAATCTACAGAAAAAAACACCTTTGTCTAAGAGAATTGAAATGGATGATGAATGTTCCCGAAATAAAAATTAGAAAAAGTGATGATGAATTCTTTTTTCAATAGTACTTAAGTATTTCTTTGATTAAATCTATTTGAATGTTTTTATATTCACCTCGATAAATAAAATCATATGAAAAGAAAAGTCCTGAAGAAAATAGAAAAGTCCGCTAGAAGAAAGAAACATCCTCTTGTCCATCATATATATATACAATAAATTATTCCTTTGATTTGAATTTATTCAATCGTTTCTTATATTTATCTCGAGAAAAAAAATCATATGAAAAGAAAACTCTTGAAGAGAATAGAAAAGTCCGCTGGAAGAAAGAAACATCCGCTGGTGGAGTATTTATATTTTGCTCTTCCTGTCACTACTGATATATGTCACATTTCATAAGGTACGTAAAGTCCCACATATTCACTAGCGGACTTTAAGTAAAGTGGACATTTTTTGGACCTTTGACATTGCTGCGAAGGAGGGCAATAAAACGAGAATGAGATTCTTCATCGTACTCAAAGTCGATCCAGCTTTGAACTGTTCAGTTTGTGCTTAGTTAAACGTATGATTCAATTGGATAGTTTTCGTTTGACTATCGGCATGTTTTATACGACATTCAACTTGATAGAATACATATCTTCAGCCGATGTTTCAATCACTATGTAACCATCAACGGTATTTGCAAAAAATTCTTTCAGGAGTTGATACCAGACATGTTTGGGTACTGTTTTTGGAAACATTTGTTTCTTGAGAATTTTGCTAGGAACCTTGATTATATCCACAACTTCTTCCAGTATGTCAAAAGCAGTGGCGGTCATAATGGGATTTAATCGATTGTCCAATTGGATGTGTAGTGGTAAGATATACGAAGCTTATTCGAATAATTGTGTAGTCGTCTTGTGAAAAATATCACGAAGCGGAGTGTAATTTTATACGACAGCGTTTTGTCTCGAAAGATGCGGCTTATCAGTTCACAGGAAAGGATTCTACCCAGATCTTAAGGAGAAACTATCATATTTCTCATGAATCAGGTGGGGTGTGGACATATGAATGTCTCTTTATTTACACCCACTCTCAAGATCGTATACGATCATTCATAAAGGATGATCCGTTAGGACCACTGTATTCCACCGGATTTATATCGTTTACGGTCGTTTACAGGTTGTTTTATCCGACATGGAAAGAGCCATCATATTGATTAGAAAGATATGTGATTTTATGTAAATTTTTTGTTGATCTTGAATCTGCATTGTGTTCTGAATTTTGATAATGCTTTAATGGACAAACGAGTGATATCTCAGCGAATTAGTGATCATCGAGTTTGACAATTGATTGCCACAACAAAATCGAATTATATATGTCATATCTTTGGTCATTTTTGGGAAAGCTCAATACAAACATGTTAGAAAGTGCTGATGCGCTATATTTCAAAAGATTGTACAAAAATACTGTAACATTTTCACAAAAAAAATTGTGAAGATTATTTCTATTAATATTTTTAGAATCTCGTGTTCTGAACTTGCACGATATTCTGAAACAGAATATACGTAACAATCCAGTTTTAAATGTTTTCGGTTAGAATAAACAGTGTCAAAGTGATGAGAGCGAACGAAGTCCTCATTTTAGACCTTCTAGCAGGATTCGTCTAAAGAAATAAGACCAAGTCGAAAAAGTGAAATCATAAATAGGGCTCAAGAGTTGCGCGAGCTTTCAGAATATGTAATCAGATTTGAAATATAAAACTGGTATTCATCCAGCTGTGTCTGATCACTCAGTATCAGGATGGCAAAAACGGATTCTTTTTATCTCGGTCTCAGTTCTACAAAAAGATAGCGTTTGTTCCCGAGATTTTTTTCGAAATAATGCTAAGTTTTATGGTGTGTAGTACGACATTCAAAGGAGAGAAAAAATAGTCACACCAGCGTTTGGATCAATCAAACTATCAGTCGAATCAAAACTACCGGATGTCCCAAAACATGTGTACACTTTTTATTTTGCATATATCTCAGCATATATAAGTAATGAAACTATTGAATTATTTTTTAAAAGATGCACCGTGAAAAGTTCTATAAGAAATGCCTGAACGAATCCCTGCTAACGTGTTCTAATGGTCTTTCTCCTAAACCCCTCCCCGCATTAGAAGACCCTCCCCCCCATATTAGTAGACCCCCCCATAATAGAAGACCCCCCTGGACAAAAATTTCATCGGGCGTATTAGAAGACCCCCCTTTAATTAATTAATTTTTTGCTAATTAGGAACTTTAATTAGAGAATTTCCGTCCAGAAGTGCACAGTTTTTAGGTTTTTCAGCTGGGAATGTTTAGAAAGTGGGTCCAAATGTATCCCTCAACCCTCAAAACCGTGAAAATCCCTATGAGAATCCTGAAAATCGCTCTGGCTTTCTGGAAAACCACATTTAGTTAATAATTGCTAAAAAGCCTAGGACATAATAGAAGACTCGGGGTCTTCTAATGCGGGGGGGGGGGGGGGACTCAAAAAGAAACACCTACATATTACACTACTTTCCATCATATTATCAGATGGGATGGATTACATGATCGCGCTTAGCATTTCTATTTTCAATCGCTTAATGTGCTGTTTATAAAAAAAGCTGTTAGCGCAATCCCTTGCGGGATTAAAAATGTGAAACACGATGTAGCAGTTATTAATAATCAAGTGAAACCTTCTTTACAAACTCAAAAAGCTTAAAGGAAAAATTTACCGAATATTTTTTTCCCTCTATTAATATTCGTCTCCGTTCAATCGCTTTCGTGGTTCATGACGAAGCAGAGCCTGTCTGTCACGGTCTGTGATGGGTTCAAAGCCTGTCTGTCACGGTCTGTGATGGGTTCAAAGCCTGTCTGTCACAGTCTGTGATGGCTCCAGACCCTGTCTGTCACGGTCTGTGATGGGTCCAAAGTCTGTCTGTCACGGGTCCAAAGCCTGTCTGTGATGGGTCCAAACCCTGTCTGTCACGGTCTGTGATGGTTCCAAAGCCTGTCTGTCACGATCTGTGATGGGTCCAAAGCCTGTCTGTCACGATCTGTGATGGTTCCAAAGCCTGTCTGTCACGGTCTGTGATGGGTCCAAAGTCTGTCTGCCACGGTCTGTGATGGGTCCAAACCGTGTCTGTCACGGTCTGTGATGGGTCCAAAACCTGTCTGTCACGGTCTGTGATGGTTCCAAAGCCTGTCTGTCACGGTCTGTGATGGATCCCGGGCCTGTCTGTCACGGTCTGTGATGAGTCACGTGACTGTCTGTCACGGTCTGTGGGCGGGGAGGGGGGGAGGGTCCAAATTTCTACCCTTAAACACTTCAACACTCCTTTCAGATCGTGTTTCACAAAAAATATACCACAAGATGCAGCATGAAAAGCTCTACAATTTACATAAGGCCACTTCATTTATAATTGCATTTTTTGTTCTCAAAATTGACACAATTCTACGCGACTAGTTTTCGAAGATCTTTGGATTTCATTTCTTTTCCTTGGCCAACACCACCTGTATATTTGTGATTTGTTGTTATGTAGATGGTATGTGTCTCTAACAAGTAATATCAGAATGAATAGGGAAATACAATTGAAACGCGCGTCGATTGGTTTGGACTCAGACATTGATTAGGGTTTTCGATATGACTCGTTAATGAAGAAATAAGAAAAGAACTTTGTCATGTGCTAGTAAATGATATTATACGCA